TGTTGCTGTGTGACTCTGAGCACATTATTTAACATAAATGTTATTTTCCTCCTAGTGTAAAATAGAGACAGTACCTGTGTCATCTCATTGTAAAGATTAAATGAGATGCTGCTATGCACAGAACCTAGCACAAGAAACCACTTGATAAAATATGTAGCCATATATATATATTATACATATATAAGCAAAAAAGTCAATTTCGAAGGGAAAATGGTTTCCAAGTTCATTTGGGAACATGTGTTTTCACAGTCCTCTCCTCAGTTCTGGAGACGAGAGCTACCCTCTGCTACTTACAGAAAGACCCTTGCTATGCTCCTTCTGTTGAGCATCACAGTCTACCCTTCTGCCCTTTGAATCAGACTATGACTTTCATTTCCTTCAGCATCATTCTCAAATTTCCCCCTTTCAGAAAATGTTCCTTGACCAGCTACAGACAACTTGGATATCTAGTCTTTTTCTCACTAGAATATTCAGTGGTTTCCAAATGATGTGCATTTGTTACTAAGATGTTTTCTAAATCCTACATTTCCCCATCATTTCCTTTGTTCTTTTCCAAAAACTTTTAATTTCAGAGACTACTCCCATTTCATTCCTAGCCCCACTTCTACCACATGCTGACTGTCTATGAGGAGGAGCCACATGCTGCCTTGTAACTGAAGTCTCAGCACAGAGCATGAGAAAGAATCCAGCACTTCATTCTGGGAAGAGATCGCTGCCAGCTCAAAGACAGTTTTATTTTTAGGGGAAAAAGGAAAAAGACACTTAAAGAAGACTCCACTGCTACTCACAGATTAAAGTGGAAGAGTCTTAGACAGGTGCCTGGGCACATAACTGGTCTACCTACACAGAAGGAAAAACTCCTGGAAAATAATACACACATCTATGAACATCGAGTAACATGTCAGTTACTTCCATGAGCCTGAAGAGCAGATGCAAAGACAGAGAACTGAGCCCAGGAACTTGCAAGGCGACTCTCAGGAGCTTCCTCTCCAGGCCAACTGGCAATCTGAGGCCAAGAGTATTGGCACAGACTCCCCTCTAAGAGAAAAGAATGGGTTCCAACTTCTGTACAGAGTGGGGGCACTGCAGAGAGGTGAGAGCAAAGCATATGCTGACGATGAACAATGGGAACCTCTCAAATGGAAGCACCCAAGTGAGCTACCCTTGGAGTTTCAGGTCCATTAAGTATCTAAACTATGTATGAAGAGAGCTGACCAATGAAATACAGAGAAAATTAAACTGCAAGTACATCGATGAATAGAAAAAGCATAATTAAACTTAAAAGAGATCAGGTATACAGACGTGAGAGACAATGAGGTTCTGAAAAATATCACATGCCCCATTTGAAGGTAGAGAGAGGTATGTGTGAATGTACTTGTGTGTGTGTGTGTGTGTGTGTGTGTGTGCACGTGCATGTGCGTGTACATGCCCATGCAAGCACAATCCCTCTAACGAGATAGTTTCTCTGTAATAAGAACCTGAAGAAAGATAAGGTCACATCAAACCTGGACAGGTGTCATGACGAGCCAAAAATGCAGAGCATGAAATTGATAGACGAACAGTCAGTGTACTCAGCAATATAAATGACCAACTGACAATATGGGAAACCAATTCTAGTCGAGTAGACAAAAGAAACTTGAGTTTGTATATTTATGTTAAGAAGAGGGATCTGAGTCAGTCAAAAATTCAGAGCATGGTCTGTGGATTTCAGAACTGTGGTACACACTCCATAGGCACAACGCAAGAAAATTCTAAGGTTGGATGTAGATGAATATTCTTTATCTTAATGGTTACATATTTATTTTAATGTATATTAAAGAATATTACCATTAGACCATCAAACTCATGTTTTTAGAGGTTTTACTGAGTAGGAATAGGCCATGTATAAAAGTAAATTGCTTTAAATTGATTTAAAAAATGTATTAAACAAACAACAGTGCAAAAGTTATGTGGCTGTGGCCCAAAGAGTAAATGAAGGTTTATGCAGATGATTCAAGTTTGGGAAATACTGAGCTAGGTATAGAAAGAGGCCTCGAACTGAAAAACTGAAAAATCACTATTACAGAATATACAATTACTATTATACATTATGGAATACACATCGTTATTATGGAAATACAATTCCAACTCTCCCCATCACACACACAAATTACCTGCAGTGTCTTTACCTACACTTTAATTCTAAAGAATAAACTCAGCAAGTGCTTAATAATGTAGTCTTTTATCTTTGTCCACAGACTAGAAAAAAGGAAGGATTAGGTGTGTGAAAACTTTACCATGCACTGTCCTACTCATCTAATACTGATGGGTGGCTAGATTACAATCTATGGGGGGCGACAGCTCCTGACCCAGTCTTCCTCACAGCATCAACACACCCACTCCTTCCATGTTGCTTTCCAAGGCAGCCCTGCTATCATTCCAGTTTCCCAGTAAAAAAGCGGTTCCAAAACAGATCATATAAGTACATGTATATACATACATCTATATGCTTTTCAATGAGACTGTTTCTATTGAAATACTTGTTCTCTGAGAAAGCGGGGGAAGCTAAGCATCCCACAAATATCTGAGCTTGTGGAGATTTTAGTCCTGTTTCCAGGGAACCTTCACTAACATTCAGAGGAAAGAGATATTGCTTCCCTCTTCCAGTCTTTCCACTCTTCCATCCAGACAGGGACACAGCAGCTTGTTCTGCAGCTTAGGCAGGTCTGCTTTCACACGTCCTTAACTTTCATCCTCTGCCTGTGTGATAAAATTAATCTTGGGCAAAGATCTAATTGATTTTCTCCTAATCTCCATCTTCTTTCTTACATGCTCCCAGAGTATGCTTTTAGACCTGTTCCAAAGCTGCTTCTGCTGCAGTCTAATCACAAACTCAGCACTATTTTAAGCTTATAAGAATTTACCAGTACTGTCTGATCTGTCCCCATCTGCACTGTACACACTTAGTACAAAACATTAGGTGACCATGGATCTCCTGGAAACCTGAGAAGCATATCACCCCGTAGCTCGATGTCTTGTTCATGGCAGATGTGGGGGAGGCCAGGCCTGTCCCAAGCGTTCCCTGGAACATGCAGAGGGGCCAAGGCCAGGTGGAGACCGCAGTGAGGGCGACCCAAGTCAGATATTCAAGAGGAAGACAGGTCATCATTCAAAGGGAAGCCAATCCCGGTACAGAGTCAAAGCCCTAAAATTGTGCATATCCGTTGATCAAGAAATCCTTCCAGGAATTTATCTTTAGGAAATGATTATGAATATAAACAGATTAGCTACAAAGATCATAACAGTAGCTTTACTCATAAATGCAAAATATATAAAACACCCTAATGGCTCTAAAAACACCATTATGAGATACTGCAATATATTTAAATGTGTAATATTCTGGAGGTGGGCAAGATTTCTTTTCAGGAGTTATGATAAGGAAGGCCATTACTTTTAAAATGCAAGGGGCTAAAAATTATTTTTCTGTAACAGAAAGAAAAAGATGCCAATCCTGATAAGGAATCTCTTCTCTTCAAGGCAGAGTGGGTCATTATTCTGCTTTGTGACTTTACTGTACATCATGGAGGTCAGCAGTGGTAGTAATAATGGCGGCAGTAGTAGTAGTAGTAGTAGTAGTAGTAGTAGTAGTAGTAGTAATACTGGTAATAATAATGCTATCACCACCCCCAGCATTTACTGAGCACTTACTCAGCCCCAGTTTCCATTTAAAGTGCTTCAATCACACAACAACCCTGTGAGGTAATAACTGTTATCATCCCTATTCTCCAGAAGAGGAAGCTGAAGCCCTGAGGTGTTTGAGAACCTGCCCCATCGCACAAAGCCAGTGAGCAGCGGAGGCAGAACTCTCACCCGGGACATCAGGTGCCAGTGTGCCTTTCAACCAGTGTGTTCTACTGCCTCTCTGAAGGTACATAGCTCCACAAGAGCAGTCACGCATTACCATTACCTGTCTATTCACTTGTCTGCCTCCCTTACTCAGTTGTGAGCTCCTTAAACACACAGTCATATTATGCTCCCATCCCTGGCAGACATCATGTAAATGTCAGCTGCCTAAATGGACCAACCTTGGTATCTGTGTGTGATTAAACAACTAATAATAATAGCAGCAGCTCTCAGCTGTCAGCCCTTGCCATGTCTAGGCTTTGTGCCTGAGGCTTAAACGCATAACTTTATTTAATCATCACAACTTCCCTATGAGGTATTATCTCTACTTCATAGATAAGCAAACTGAGGCTGAGAGAAGGTGAAAGGCTTGCCCATGTGCTGCTGCCAGCATAGGAACCCAGGTCTGATGGACTTGAGGCTGAACTGAAGCCCTCAACTCCTATCCTATGATACTCAACTCTCATTACAAATGTTAAACGAGACTGGATATTTTAGGATGCAGTAACCTGATCACTGCAAAGATCTCAGAAATTCTGAAATGAAAAAAGATTTAATTACACTGCTATTTGGAACAAGGACAGTATTATTTTGTAATTAATTCATTAGTTAATTTCACATATTTATGAAGTGTCCACTCCACACCAGACCCTGTGAGAGGGGGAGTAGTAGAAAGACGAGCAAAACAAGGTCCTGCCCTCACAGAGTCACATTCTAGTGGGACATGTGACTCGCATTAATAAGCAGCTAATTACAAACTGAGAAAAGGCAAGGAAACTAGTTCTATGGAAGCTACGAACAAAAGAGGGCCGGAAGAAGCATGTCTGAGCTGAGCTCTTACTGTGTGGGAGGGAGAGCGCTCAGCTGTCTGCCCACGGGAGATCTGGAGAGGGAATCCTGAACAGCGAGTGGCCCCGGGCTTTCATTCTCAGCAGTACTGCTTCCTGTCCTATCAGGGTTACACAGCCATGGTACCTGAGAGGGCACAATGCTACACAGTCCTCAAGGACACAAAAGGTGGCAGCCCACAGAGAAGGGGGAGGTGTGCCCCCTGAGCGACTGGGAGGTGGCACGGGATGTCCCTTGAGGGCCTGGCTGGCCTGAGCAGTGGGACTCACGTTTCTCTGTTGATTGCAT